CATATTATTATTTAGTTAATCATTTTTCTATACTTAAAACAATATTTGTTTGTTGTATTTTAATCGATTAAATGAGTTTTCTTCAATTAGAACAACTTATTGAAATTTTCATATATTTATACTTCTCTTTTTAAATTTATTAAAACCATGAAATAATCGATTAATTGATCATTTATGTAAAAATAATCAATTAAATTCATGATTTAATAAATTATAACTAATAGATTTCATTATATAAACAATTTTCCTCTCTCTTTTCATATATACGATTTGCAAACTTTTAAGCAATCCCTTGGGGGTTCTCTAAGAAAGTTACATGTGTTATCACTGTGAATTAATTCAAAATATTCTTGAGTCATTCTTTTACTTTTTGGAGAGATTACTTAGAGATTGAAATTCCGCACTTGGGTTGTTGTGCTATATAATTTTTCCAAGTGATTTCTATTCGTCTAGTGTATTAATGGTACCTGGTGTTAGGTATGGGTTGTTGGCAACCTGATGTGGGTTACTAGTTGATTCAAGAGTGGTTCTTGTAAGAAGCTATTCAAGTAGATAGGTTGTGTGTATTGGTTTGTGTTTTGTAATTGAATATTGGTTTTAGTGGAACCCACTAGTTTGAATTGAGAACTCGGATGTAACTCAAGTAGTTGGGTGAACCAAGTATAAAATTATGTTCTGCACTCTCTATCTCTTAATTCATGCACCACATTCTTTTTCTTACTATATTTATCAATTTTTTGAAAAACATTAGTTTTATTATTTAAGAATTGGAGTATTTCGAATAAAAATTTACAAGATAAATTCAACCCCCTCTCTTGATCTTGGCCATTATTTTTAACAAAATAATCATATGATGTAACATCATAATTCTCAGTACTCCTGGTTTGTTAAATTTTGACAAAATCTTTGTCGAAATTTTAATAATTAAATTATTAGGAATTGGGTAAAGCGACTGTAAAGTTTTATGTTTATTAGTTTATTTATGATTTTCTGGAATTTTTAGAAAATACTCAAAATTGACCCGTTTTGCAGGCAACTGGGCGCCAAATAGTAAATATATGTTTTAAGGTAGAAATTGAAAATAAGAGAAGTAATTAAATTAAGAATTTAATAATATTGTAGAGATGAGGAGTGAATTATTTGGTTAGACCCTTGTCATAAGATTGGAGGGTCATGAATTCGATTCTTGTATGTGCATTAGAACAATTATAATTTTTCTATTATTTTATAATTGTTAGAAAATATTCATGCTTAGGGACTTAACAAATTTTAATTGCCACATTTAGAAATTATTATTTTCTTGTATGTATTGAGTGTGAATACATTAAAACTGTACTATGTGTGTGAGTTGGTAAGAAACATATGATGGATGATATGGTTTGGAGTAATGTTTGAGTCTTAAGGGTTGTGAGTTCAAATCCTGACTAAAAAAGGAAAAAAAATAATGCATAAATTTTTCGTAATATAATCCGCTTGATTTTGAGGGGGAAATCTTGATTTTCTTAAGGAGCTCCAAGAGGTAAGTTTGTTTATTTCAATCTCCTCTACATTTCTACGATTTTATTTTTCAAAACGGTGCATTTTCTATTTTTTTCCTCACTTGGCTGAGCTTGAATGGGTGTAGGAAGAGTGTTATTGTAGGTTTTACACCAAGGATACTAGAATAATGCTTAGACTTGAGGATTAGAAGTGGTTGAGCTAAAAGCTTTAAGAACCCTAATTCGTAGGTATTGTTCATTGAATTTCTGGGACTTGTGTGAACAGAATTAGGAATTTGTATCTTCATGAAAGCTGTAGCCCTTTTAAGTTATCGAAATTTAGAAACTGGTTTTACATTAAACGGATATTTGTAGCTCAAGTTATGCCCATTTTACTGTCAAGTGTTCTAGCTGTGACGTTAAGAGGTAGCCCTGTTTCAACAGCCTCGGTTTTTGAATTTCTGGGATTGATATGTGTGAAATTAAGACTTAATTCCTTCATAAAGGTTGTAGGAAATTATATTCCCGAAAGTTAGAAATTGGTTTCATGTCAATAGCTTATGTGTAGCATGAGTTATAGTCAAATTACCAAGGCATATTCAGAGTGTTATTGTAGTTGAGCGCAGTTGGAAACAACCACTGAAAACTGAAAACTGCATCTATTCTATAGGGTATTTGAATTTATTTCCTTTATCAATATTGTAGGTAATTAAGTTATTGAAATTTTGGCTCAAATCTCATGCCAAAAAAGCTTATATAACTCTAGAAAATTTTGAAATATTGAACCTTGTCCATGTTTGCTATTAGGATTCTTCCTACTCTAAGTGTATACAAAATAGGATAATTTTCTAAGTTAATTGTAAGTTGTGAGCTTAAAATATTATTAGAAATGGATTATCAACACAAATTGAATTTAAATTCTCATGAGATAGAACCATAGAAATATAAGAATCTAACTAGCATTTTATTACGTATATAGATTTTGCTAGAAAACAACATCAAGCTTTGAAAGGAATAAGTGTGGACGTATCAGGTAAGGGGTGGACTATATAGTAAGGATTACATCATAAACTTGTTTGACCTTATTTGTTGAAGTTGTCTAAATTTGTTATGATTGATAATTTTGATTTCATTTTATGCTTGGTTGTGAAAGTGATAATGAATAACTTACGTATATGATGGTGTAAAATACATGTTTGATACTCTATTATGATATGTATTGTCTCTGAGTGAACATTTATATGCATGGTGGTTTTTCATGAGAAATTTCATTGAAAATTAAATTGAAAAAAATTGGATGATGGGTTGTAAGTTTTCTACTTGTAACATGTGATTGAAAATTTTTGGAAAGTTCGTATTACAGGGGAAACTCTGTCAAAATTTTTGGAAAAATGAGACTTTCTAAGAAAAACCACTTAAGGACTCATATATTACTCATCTAAAAATGGTGATTTGTGAAATCTGGGGAATCAGAGATTATGGACTCTGAGAATACGATAGGGAGGCCCTGAGGGAGGACTTGAGGATAGGAAGGGTAGTGGTTGGAGTCCCCAAAAGACCCAACCTCGCTACCTGTTGTCGGGGATCCCACTGTACAAACTCTCCTGTACCTGACTGTGCTCTTACCGTATATCAGTGGTCAGTGAGCTATTGGGTTTATATTTGAGCATGGGTCTCAACAATCCCGTGAGTGGATTTTCCATGCCTAGTAGTGTCAACTCCTGGCTACCCCAGTACTGATTTGAGAAATGATTCAGGCCCGCATGCATAAACATTTTAGAAATCATATTAGGATCATGCATCATTAACATCAATCATTTGGAATTTGATTGACTTGTGAATGTTTATGATGTTGATTTTAAAATGATGTATGAACTGTTGCTCACCCTCTTGTCTCTCTGTTTTCTTTATTTCTTTTGTACTTGCGATACTCGTGGGACCTGATCGGTCATTGTTTAAAGAGAGGGGAGGTGGCACAGATTCCACACCCGATGAATATGACACACATACTCATTAGCTAAAAGCCACAATGATGACAATATGTATTAGGATAAACATATTCAATCTTTTATAAGTAGTCCTTTGTGGTACATAGACCTATACGGTATTAGGTAGTAGCCACTCTTATGTGTAGTTTGCTGCTCTGTAGGAAGTTATCTCAAGGTTACCCCTAATATTTTGAAGGACTGTAACTAATATTTTATCTATATGTAATTATGAATGTTTACTTTTAGTACTTTCTAAAATGATGAAATGCAAGAATAGGTTATTGAAAATTTACATGTTAAAGTTTATTTTTACGATTAATGCATTGGTTTAATATATTAATATTATGTATGAAGGAAAGATTATTATTGGTTATTAAAAAAAATTCCGCTAAAATTAATTCTTCGAGGATTTATAATGTAGGGTGTTATATTAGTGGTATCAGAGCAGTTCGACCCTTTAGGCATGGGGAAATGTCTACTTAGGCTTTTGTGCACTCTTTGTGGGGAATTATGTGTAGGAAATTACCATGATCTAATATCAATCATGATTACTTGATAACTTAGTCAAATTTGATTCGATTATCAGGAATCAATGGCTGGACGAGGTGCTGGATTAGCTGATTTAGTGGAGAGACTAATTGCTGCAATGGAGCAGGATCGAGAAGCTCGAGTGCAACAGGATCGTGTTCCTCGAGGTGATGATGCTTTAACGAGATTGGACTTATTTGAGAAGAGGAACCCTCATCGATTCAAGGGAGGATATGATCATGAAGGTGCACAAGTTTGACTAAGAGAAATGGCGAAGATTTTTCGTGCCCTACGATGCACAGAGAATGATAAGGTGGTGTTTGCTGCTTATGCATTAATAGAAGATGCTGAATATTGGTGGGACGGAGTGAGACAAAGATTGGAGGGGGAAGGTATAATGATCACATGGCCTTTGTTTCAAGCGAGATTTTTGGAGAAGTACTTTCCACAAGATGTTCGAGAGAAGAAAGAGATAGAGTTCTTGGCACTGACACAAGGATCCATGAATGTAGGAGAGTACGCAACAAAGTTTAAAGAACTTTCACGATATCATCCCCACTACCACAATGCCATCAACGAGAAGTCAAGGTGTGTGAAGTTTGTCAATGGACTTCGCCCTGATATTAAGGAAGCCATAAGAATGCAGGAAATTCAAGAGTTTCCTACATTGGTGAACAAATGCAAGATTTTTGAAGAAGACCATAAAGCAAGGATTGCTAAGTTTCGAGAACACCGTTTTGAGTCTTCAGGAACAAAGAACTATGAGCTTTAACGTAATCAAAGGAGAGGATTTGGAAGAGGACAATCATATCAGAGACAACAACGTCAAAGGGGACCCACAATTGAGTTTTCTCATAACCGTGGTAATAGTGGAAACTATATGTTAGTCCCATCAAGAGGAAAACGCTTTGCTTGTGCAGGAGAACACTACAAAAAAGATTGACCAGTAAAACTGTTAATATGCTTTAGTTGTAACAAGCCTGGGCATATGTCCCATGACTGTCCGATGATTAAGAAGGAAGGAGATGGAGGCAATGGAAACTATCACAACCGAAATCCTAGTGGAGGGGTAGCTAGCATGCCAAAAGCTAAGGGTAAAGTTTTTGCAATGAGGGGAGAAAAAGTATCTAACTCTGACATGATGATTGGAGGTACATGTATTATCCGAGATACTCCTTTATCTGTGATGTTTGATTCAGGTGCATCACATTCATTTATTTCTCATAGTTGTGTGTAACGTTTGAATTTGCCTACTATAACATTGCCATTTGATTTGTGATGAGTCATTATATTCCCGTATTTTCTTCCCTTTCTGAACTTATTTTAATTAGTGTTTTGGGCTTAACTTTCTATTATTAGTGAATTTTTATTAATTGGGCTTCATTGGGCCAATAATTAGATTTTAATTAATTTAAATCTATTTGATATAATTTTTTCTCATTATTAATTTTAGGACAGTTAAAACAATTTTGGGCCTAGAAGATTGGGCTAGATGCCATTTTACAGTTTAAAGCAATTTTGGGCTTGGAAAATTGGATCAAATGTCATATTTTATTCTATACGGGTACTAACATTGGTTCACTGTTTTATTGATCATTTTTTCTACATATCTCCAAAAATCATTATTTTCAAATCATTATAAACTAGACACATTCAGCTTTCCATAGGATCCAAAATCATTCAATTCGGAGATAAATTGGATTTTACATAAATTATCCAACACGGGTTAAGCGAACCAGGGCGGCCCAATGGACATGCTTCAGTAATTTAAGTCTCCTAAAATCATTAGACTCCAAAAATATTATCAATGGTGGCGTCTTAAAGCTAACTCAAAAGGCTTTCAAAGGATACCAAAATCGCTTAATTTGGATAAGTATCGAAAATACTGCACGTGTTTGAAGTTCACAGACCTGCACTAAAGCCAACTTATGATGTGTTTCATGGACCAAGTTGAGCCCAAACCTCGATAAAGATTAGGGTTAGGGTTATTTATATAAGAGAGGCACATCACACATTAGAGACACACATCACACAAGGACTACACAGCTACCACACTTCCACCTTTCATCTTCTGCAATTTATATTCAAGTTTGTTTACTCTTCTATCATTATTTTTAAATTCTTGTTTCGATTTTAATTATGTTTCTTCTATTGCGTTTTCAACTTTCCATGGATAGCTAAATCTTTGTATTGATTTTCTGAGAAGAATGCAAGTAGATCTTTGAGGTTTTGTTCTTCAATTTCATTTTGTTTGTTCTCTTAACTCTTCATCTTCTAATCTCAGTGTTGAATTATAATCTGTTTATGCTTAATAAACCGAAACTAATATCACAGTTTGCTTAATTCTGTGTTAGAGATGAGATTATGTGATGTATGCAATGCTTAATTGTATAAGGATAATTTGGGGTTAATCTTCGCTTAGTTGGTTAATTTCATGTTGGAATAAGGGTTAAGGAAAATTTGGGATTAATCTTCGCTTAGTTGGTTAATTTCATATTGGAACAAGGGTTAAAGCTAATTTGAGATTAATCTTCGCTTAGTTGATTAATTTCGAATTAGAATATAATTTGGGATTTATCTTCGCTTAGTTGGTTAATTTCGAATTAATTTCGTAATCTAAGATAAGTGACACTCGCATTAGAATCGGAAATCAATTGCATTTTAATCTATTTTTAATCCGCATTTTTATAATCCGCTTTTGTTCTGTTTCATCTAATATTTTAATTTTGAAAAACTCCCCTTTTAATTTTTTGTTACTAAAAATTGATAAGCTTTGATAGAAATCCGTGGTCTTTGGGAGATGACCTAGGAAAACTTCCTAGTACTACATTTATCTCGTTTTAATTATTTGACCGAGTACGACATCGATCAAATTTGGCGCCGCTGTCGGGGACCAAGATTTTTGTCTAGGTTTTCAATTTTTATTTTCTCGTGTCTGTTTTCATTTTTTTGTTTTTATTTTATTTTATTTAAATATTTTATTTGATTTTCAGTTATTTAGATATTTTGTTTGATTTTCAGTTAATTGAATATTTTATTTGATTTTCAGTTATTTAAATATTTTATTTGATTGTTAGTTATTTAATATTTTATTTGATTTGGATATTTTATTTGATTGTTAGTTATTTAATATTCTATTTGATTTGTCTGTTATTTGAATATTTTATTTTATTTGCTAGTTTTTAATATTTTATTTGATTTTTAGTTATTTGAATATTTTATTTGATTTTTAGTTATTTGGATATTTTATTTGATTTTTAGTTATTTAAATATTTTATTTGATTTTAAGTTATTTAATATTTGATTTTCAGTTATTTGGATATTTTATTTGATTTTTAGTTATTTAAATATTTTATTTGATTTTCAATTATTTAAATATTTTATTTGATTTTCAGTTACTTGAATATTTTATTTGATTTGTTGTTATTTGGATATTTTATTTGATTTTCAGTTAATTGAATATTTTATTTGATTTTCTATTTAATTTAAAATTCTTACTTCTCTTAATACTATTTTGATAGCCTACTGTGTTCTAAAACTCTTTTGGGTTAAAAAAAAAACAAAAAAAAACAAAAAAAATATTAAAAAAAAATATATAAATAATAATTAAAAAAAAAACAATTTCATCTCTAATTTGTTTTTCTAACTTTATTTAAAAAAAAAATTATAATTTCCATTCTCATAGGAAACTCGGATATAGCTTGGTAGTGTGAGAGTGCATGTCTAGGAGGGTTCTGGCTAGGAAAGACTTGGTACTTAAGCGTGTCCATTAGTGACCCACCTCTCTTTCCTGGGAACCTACCTGGTGTACTTGTTCACGGTCTACCGTTGTCATTCCAGTAAACAACTGATTTTTTTTTTAGGAATTTTTTTTAACTCTTAGTGCATGACTAGGAGCAATCCCGACCTTTTACAACCTTTTGATCCCGAGATAGACAGAACCTTTCATAGATTAGTTAGACATTCTAGGAATTCATCTCTTGAGTCCGAACCATTAGATAGTCATAGTGAGAGTACTGCACCTAATATACCTTCTTCCGATAATTTCCAAACTAATAACATGGGTGATCAACCTATTGGACCTCGTGAGAGGACTCTCGGGGAGATGGTTGCACCCGATTTCACTTATGCAAATTTATGTATCCAATACCCCGAAGAGGATGTACCATTTGTGCTTAAAACTGGACTAATCCATTTGTTGCCCAAGTTTCATGGTCGTGCAGTGTGAGGATCCATACAAGCATCTCAAGGAGTTCCATATAGTCTCGCTCCACCATGAAGCCACAAAATGTTCCTCGAAGATCACATATACCCGAAGGCTTTTCCTTTCTCTTTGGAGGATCTTGCCAAAGATTGGTTGTACTACTTAGCTCCTAGTCCCATAACGAGTCGGGATGATCTCGAAGAGAGTCTTTCTAGAGAAAATTTTCCCTGCTTCCAGGACCACCGCCATCGGGAAGGATATATCGTGTATCATGCAACAGATGGGAGAGAGCTTATACGAGTATTGGGAGAGGTTCAAGAGACTTTGTGCAAGTTGCCCTCACCACCAAATATCAGAACAGCTACTGCTACAGTACTTTTATGAGGGGATGAACACAATGGATAGGAGTATGATAGATGCAGCTAGCGGAGGAGCTTTAAGAGACATGACACCTGTCGCTGCTAGAGGTTTAATTGAGAAGATGGCATCCAATTCCCAACAATTTAACATGAGGAGTGATGCCATAGTCCTTAGAGGTGTACATGATGTGGGTTCATCGGATTTAGTGGAGAAGAAGCTAGAAAGTAAGATTGATGCCCTCACCACCCTAGTCTCCCAACTTGCCGCAAATCGAGACCTACACCACCTGCAAGGGTTTGTGGCATTTGTACTTCAATTGAGCATCCCACCGATTGCCGCCAATTATTGCATGAGTCTACAGGTTCCGGAGCTCCACAAGTTTATGCAAGCAAACATTTTCAATAATAGGGCTCCGAACCAACAACATAATTCCGACCTCTCAAGCAATAGATACAATCCAGGGTGGAGGAATCACCCAAATCCGAGATGGTCCAATCAGCAGCACCAACAAGCAGCAGAATCCTTTGCCACCACCACCATTTCAGAATTCTACTCGGTCCAAGCGGACCTTATGTGCCTCCACCAATGCAACAACAATATCGAGGCAGCAAAATGAAGCACCAGCTCCTCAACCTTCTTCACCTTCATTAGAGGAATTGGTCAAACAAATGGTTGAGATGAACATACAAGTACCAACGAAAAATGATGCCTCCATTCGCAGTTTAACCAACCAGATTGGTCAACTAGCTACCGTCGTGAATCAATTGCAAAATCAAAATTCGGACAAGCTCCCCGCACAAACCGTGGTTAATCCTAAGAATGTGAGTGCCATCACATTGAGGTCGGGAAACAGATTGACATACCCACTGCAACACCTCCACCCTCATCTCGTAGCCGCCTCGGCTCTCGCACCTGAGCAACCAGCTTGGTAGCCGAAAATTGCATATAGATGGACCTTCTTCCAGCCCCAGCTTCCGACTCGCAACAGCCTCCTATCCCTCTTCCATTCCCTCCTAAAGCAATTCCAAGCAAAAAGATGGAAGAGGTCGATAAAGAGATTCTAGAGACCTTTAGGAAAGTTGAGGTGAACATACCTCGCTTGATTCCATCAAGCAAATTCCCGGATATGCTAAATTCCCGAAAGAGTTGTGCACCCACAAGAGGAAGATGAAGGGCAAGTGAGACAATCGGCATGGGCGTAAATGTGTCTCGCTTTGATAGGTAAACTGCTCCTTACATTCCCGAGAAATGTAAGGACCCGTGTACATTCTCGCATACCTTGTATTATTGGAAATAATAAATTTGAGAATGCCATGCTTGATTTGGGTGCTTCAATTAATGCCATGCCTTTGTCTATATTTAATCTCTTTCTCTTGGACCCCTGCAACCTACGAATATAGTTATTCAGTTGGCAAACAAGAGTGTTACCCACCCTATAGGTTTCATTGAGGATATCTTAGTTAGGGTTGGTGAGTTGATTTTCCCTACTGATTTTTACATTCTTGATATGGACGAGGGATTTTCACGTGGTTTTGCACCCATCATTTTAGGAAGACCATTTTTAAAGACTGCAAGAACCAAGATTGATGTGCATGTAGGGACCTTATCCATGGAATTTGATGACATTGTGGTGCA